AACATCTAAAAGAACATTTGCAACTATTTAAGACCCCAGAAATTCAGGCATGCAAAGTCAGATCTATAGGTTCTAGTGAAGTCCATAAGTTAATGTTATGGTCTTGTTGGTAGCTGTTTTCTCAGTATTTCAGCTGTAAATGTACAGTATAAGGGTCGATGTACTAAAGGTATAAAATATTTATTTAGCCCAATAATGAGCAAGGGATTCAAGCCCACAGAGGGGTTTTTTACTGTTTTTTTTTTTTTTTTTTTGCTAGATTTTTGCTGAACAGGACAGAGGGCATCAAATTTGTACATAGAAAATTTATTTTACAATTGGTTTAGGATGGGATGTAATGAACTTTGATTTTTAACCATTCCGGTGTAGATTTGGTTGTGTGTTTAGGGTCATTTTCCTGCTGAAAAGCGAACTTCCATTCCCATTTCAAGTATTTTTAATTCTAAATCATGTTTTTGTCTTTAATTGCCCTGGATTTTGTCTCTATTGATATTGCTCTTCAGCTTGGCCAGATTTCCAGTCCCTGTTGTTAGAAAATGTCTCCAAAACATGATATTACCACCACCATAGTTGATCTATAGTATAGTGTTGGTTTTGTACTATACTTATAGTTTGCATTAGGGCCAAAATAATTCTGTTCATCTGAACTTTGTCAATTGTCTGGTGTGTCTTTCACATGGTTTTCGATATATGATATCGACTTACCAGCAATATTTGATCTTGTCTTTTCAGAAATGGCTTTCATCCCATGATTGTGGTAAAATATGGACAGTTCCTCATATCTCAGATATAGATCTCTTACCCTCGGTTCACATCTGTGTGGGTGGTGCTGCTGCGGGAGCCGCACAAATGCCTGCAGCCGCACCACCCATATAAAGGAATGCGGGACCTGTGGGCGGGTGCTATTAATTCTAAAGGCACGCTGCCCACTCTGGAAATCACCGCCATACCGGAATCCTCGTTTCCCGTGCGGGCTGCGATTTCCAAAGTAGTGCAGGGACTTCTTCCCTGCGTGTCCCAGGGCACGTGAGTCCATTAAAAAAATGGGCTCTCATGCCCGTGCAAATTGCCACTTGACCGCACAGATGTGAACCAGGGCTTAGTTAGATTTAGATTTACTTTTGGCTTATTGGTTAATTTACTGAGTAAGACCCTCTTGCCTAATCAAAAACTTTGGTGGTTGGCCTTTCTAGGCAGTAATACCACATTCTTACAATTTTTAATAATGGGTTTATTGGTATCACAGGGGGTGTCTTAAGGTCCTTTAAATAACTAAATTCTGATGATTGGGAAAACAATGTAGATGTTTTTTCAACTCTAACATTATGAACTAGTTTGTGATAATCAGCAACATCAATAACAACATATAATCACAATAAATTCAATTTAAATTCTAAGATGCAACAATACAAAATGTGAAAATGGAGGTTACAAGGTATGCAAAACACTGTTTATATCCTACAAACACATTATCAGTTTGATATGTACAGTAAGCATCCCCCATATTCTCAGTTTGACACCTTTCCACCCATGAAATCAAGGTAGTGGTTATCACCCATCTGTAGGTTGACCAGAGGAGAAAATGGCTGCTGCCAATGTACTTTCTGGATCACCTTCTGACTGGACAAGGAAGGAGCAGCTACTCACTGATAAGGTTTATTTATTTATTTGACTACAAGTACTTATGTAGCGCTGTCAATTTACACAACACTTTACATATATATTGTACATTCACATAAGTCCCTAACCCTTAAGGAACATACAATCTAAGGCCCCTAACTCACATTCATACAGACACATACTAGGGCCAATTTAGACAGGAGCCAATTAACTTACCAGCATGTCTTTGAAGTGTTGGAGGAAACCAGAGTACTTGGAGGAAACCCAGAAAGGCACAGGGAGAACATGCAGACTCCAGGCAGGTAGTGCCATGGTTGGGATTTGAACAAATTACCCTAGCACTGCTAGGCGGAAGTGCTAGCCACTTAGCCACTGTGCTGTTGACCTGCAATTTCCCCTACAATTAATATGAAGTTGTAAAAAGGAACTGAAAGCTATGCCAAAAATGATAAAGCAGTGGGCAGAGAACTAGTCAATAATATTGCCTGTGATCTCCCTGCAGTTTTTTTTCCCCATTACTGACTTACCATGCCATGTTCTGCACAGTGCCTCATCATGAAAACAGCCATCTTGATAGAGGAGCAGAGATTTGCTCCCTCATGCCAGATCAACCCCCCCGAATGAATACTTTAGGCAATATAGAGTATATTGTATATGTCCTATGGTCCCATCACAAACTTTCATTTTATAACATCTGCATTGTAATACCAATACAAACAATAGTAATTTTTGACAATCCAATAAATACTTACCGTATTTTTCGCTCCATAAGACGCACCTGACCATAAGACGCACCTAGGTTTTAGAGGCAGAAAACAGGAAAAAAAAATTCTGAACTAATGGACTGCAGACATAGTACAGGAGATGACCAGAGACTGTGGACAGCACAGGGATGACCAGAGACTGCGGACAGCACAGGGATGACCCAGAGACTGCGGACAGCACAGGGATGACCAGAGACTGTGGACAGTACAGGAGATGACTGCTGACCTTTGGGGAGGGGGGGGGGAGCGGATACTTGAATTTGACAGGTACCTGCTCTTACTTCCGCGGAGTTGTTCTTTGATCTTACCTGTTCCTCTATCCAGCCGCACGCTGTCTTCCCGGCTTCTGTAGTGTCAGCGCTCGGCATGACAGCCAGGTGCCCAGTGCGCATGAGCGAGAAGCACTTGCGCTTTGTGATTGGTCCGGCGGCTTCTGGGATCTGTCATGTGTCCCAGGTACCACCTTACCATTCACAAAAAGCACCGCTTCTTGGCACCCGGCTGTCAAGCCCAACGCCCACACTACAGAAGCCGGGAAGACAGAGTGCCGCTGGATAGAGCAACAGGTAAGGTCAAAGAACAACTCCGCGGAAGTAAGAGCGGGTACCTGTCAAATTCAGGTACCCGCTCCCCACCTCCCCAAAGGTCAGTAGTCATCTCCATAAGTTCCCGCTGCAGAGCTGAGCGGCCGGCCCGGTATTCTGACACGGCGGCGGTGGAAATACCGGACCGGCCGCTCCATATTCGCTCCATAGGACGCACTGACAGTTTCCCCCCTTTTTTTGGGGGAAAAAAGTGCGTCTCATAGAGCGAAAAATACGGTACTTAAAATATCTCCTTTCATGTCTTGAGTGCTGCCTGTCTGCTGGGCATCTCTTTACACAACTTCCCGGTTTCTTTGTATGCATTGAAGCTTCTCCTCTGCGTTTTACTTTCAATTTCTAAGGACTACATATCCCGTGGTACTTTGCTGCTTGCAAGCTGTGATTCCTGTACTGACTCAGCCTCCTGAATCTCCTCCTCTCAGCACCTATGTAGTTCAGATGGCAGGCCCTGTGAACTGTGTGACACAGCAGTGCCTAACCATAGGGCATAGAGAATATGTGTCACAGATATCCAGAAAGTAAATGCATGGGAATCTCCACAAAGTAAGTTTACAAACTTCAAGATTATTCTGATTAGTAGTAGGCATGAAATACAATCTAGAAATGAATATAATGATTTTAAATTTTGAGCATAGAAATGTGTTTAAAAAAAACACATATGAACAAATAAAAGCACACATAAAAATATAAAAGCACACATAAAATGCATACAATCACTTTATTTTGATGTGTAAAGAAATGTTTTAACTTTTATTAATATGTTTAAGTTGCTTTCTGCATTACCATACTAGTCTGTAAATTTACCTCGAAGAGTAAGGAGCCTCATAAAATAACTGTTACTGATATTAAAATATATTTTCGAAGCACAGGAAAAAATAATCTATATAACTTAGATATCTGAAAGCTACCTCTCCTCTTTAATTTATCTCATGTACAATACTAAAGGGCTAAGCAGCAGGGTACTGGATTCCTGAAGGATTCTAAAGAACAGTCTGTGATCTTCCTAACCTCTCCCTAATCATCACCCTCCTCTTTCCCGAGTACTAGGAACAGCCAGCTGCAATATCTGTTCAGCCTCCACACTTAGGTGGAAGAACTTCTAAAGCAAGCTCTCCGCTCATGAAAAACACTGGCAGAACTAAAAAAAGGAAAAAGCGACAAGACATCAACCTAAGGTAAACCTTTCTTTTCAGTGAGTACTGTACTTGGAACAAAATGTTACGTTGGAAATACAGCTGACCATGCTGAGAGATACAAAACTGGAGGTCACCCTCACTGTGAATGAAAGAGCGTGTTTGTACCAAACATTGACTTAGTTGTTCAACTGTTTTTTTTTTTTAGAACATTTTGGAAATATAAATATTGTTTCTTATTTGTTATCCTGTGCATATAACAAGCATCATGTGGAGTTCTTCATTTTGTCCTGAAACGGTGGGCCTTGATTGATGATAGTCACCATGATCAGATTTTAAGGACTTATTATTTTCAAGCTGACCGCTTAGCACAAATCTAGAACTATTTAACCACTAGCCTACCAGGCACTTATACCCCCTTCCTGCCCAGGCCAATTTTCAGCTTTCAGCGTTGTCACACTTTGAATGACATTTGCGCGGTCATGCAATATTGTACCCATATGAAATTTTTATCATTTTTTTCTCACAAATAGAGATTTCTTTTGGTGGTATTTACTTGCCGCTGTGTGTTTTACTTTTTGCGCTATAAACAAAAAAAGAGCAAAAATTTTGAAAAAAAAAAGGTGTCTTTGTTTCTATTATAAAATTTTGCAAACAGGTAATTTTTCTCCTTCACTAATGTGCGTTGATAGGCAGCACTGATGGGCACTGATAGGCAGCACTGAAGGGCACTGATAGGCGGCACTGAGGTGGCATGGATAGGCAGCACTGATAGGTGGAACTGATAGGCGGCACTGATGATGGGTACTGATAGTCAGCACTGATAGGCGGCACTGCTGGGCACTGACTGGCAGCACTACTGGGCACTGACTGGCTGCACTGCAGGGCAGGGCTGGCTGCACTGCAGGGCATTGGCTGGTGCAACTGCTGGGCACTGACTGGCAGCACTGATGGGCACAGGTGGGTGGCACTGATGGGCAGAGGTGGCTGGCACTGATGGGCGCAGGTGGGTGACACAGGTGGGTGGCACTGATGGGCAGAGTTGGGTGGCACTGCTGGGCACCGATCATCAGGGCACTGATCCCTGCTCTGACAACTGCTGGTTTTCGGCAGTACTTTCCTCACGATCTGACAGCGTGAGGAAAGTGCAGCCGAGAACCGGCAATTGCATTTCCCTGTGATCTGCGTGTCATTGGACACGGCTGATCACGTGGTAAAAAGCCACTGTGATTGGCCTTTTACCACATCACGTGATCAGCTGTGTCCGTAGGACCAAGCAATCACGGAGATCGCCGGGTGCGCACCCTGGGGGACACGCAGGAGAGCGAGTTCTGGGAGGACGTCATATGACGCCCTCCCAGAACTAGCCATCATTCGGCTATCTGCGGTCGGCAACTGGTTAAAAAAAGTATAAGTGGTTTAGATTAAAAAATATTTACAGAATATCAGTATCTAATTTTCTAACTTTCATACACAGTTAAAATAGAACTAAGCTTAGTAAAAACATTTTTAGTAAAAAATAAATATATATATAATATATATATATATATATATATATATATATATATATATATATAAAAATCTTTATATGTTTTCCTTATATATTAAATAAATACTATAACAACATATTTAAATATTCATCTCAGGAAATACCTCTACATTCCCCTAAATCACCCCCCCCCCCCCCCCTCCCCACACCCCGATGAAGAAGGAGAAAAAACAAACAAACTATATTCCTTAAGCCTATGGTACATATGTTCAAAACCCACTGCAAAAATACAAGAATTTTGGAGGACAGCTGCACAGACAATGTAGGATATAAATGGTATTGACTTACCTAAAGATCCAAGGATCTTTTTGTTTTATAATACTACAAATGCAATAATACAATACTGTATAAGAAACCATGTATTCTCATTTACTAAATGCAAACAAGAGATTTATTCCAAAGCTCAGGTGTTTGCAGTAGAATCCATCAATGAGAGATGGGCTCAGGAGGGTGGAGTATATCTGTTGTATAGAAGAATAATACCACTCTTGTGAGGATATGGAGTATCTTTTTTTCAAAAACATAGAATGGATGATTTAAGTTTTAAAAAAACAGAAACTGACAGTTAATGGGTGTATTAAGAGAATGAGAAAAGAACGGGAAGCTTTTTGTTATGAATGCTTTCCTAACTCAAAAAATACCTTCTATTGCTCTCAGCACGCCCCAAATATTTCCTTTTTGTTTTGCTGCCATGATGTGACCGCCTGTACATTGTCCATGGTAGGAACATAGCCACCCTCCTCTTTTGCTTGCATCAGAGATGAACTAGGGGCTATGGGATTTGGAGTGTGCATAGAGCAATACACATTATTATTATTATTATATTATTATAATACAGGATTTATATAGCGCCAACAATTTACTCAGTGTTTTACAATATAATGGGAGACAATACAGCAACAATTCAGTTTAATACAGGAGTGTTAGGAGGGCCCTGCTCCTTGGAGCTTACAATCTAGGAGGGAGGAGCTAGTGGTACAAAAGGTAGTAATTGTGGGGGATGGACTGGTAGGAGGAATAGAAGATTCCATTATTAGCTGAGGGCAGGATAGGCTTCCCTGAAGAGATAGGTTTTCAGAGATCGCCTATAAGTGAGTAGAGTAGGCAATAGTCTGATAAATTGGGGTAGAGAGTTCCAGAGGATGGAGAAGCTCTGGAGAAGTCCTGGAGACGAGCATAGGAGGAGTAGACAAGGGAGCAGGAGATCGTGCAAGGAGCGGAGAGTACGGTTTGGGTGATATTTGGAGACAAGATTGTTGATGTAATTTGGGGCAGAGTTATAAATGGCTTTATATGTTATGACCACATGACCACAACTAACATGCACGGTTCCTTCCAAACAAACAGAAGTGAGGGGAAAAAAGAAGAGGTTCAGGCATTCATGAAGGAGCAAGAAGGGAGGACACAGTAACAATTTTATAAAAAGTAGATTACAGGACCATGAAATAAGGATATTGTCACTTTAAACAAGACCGGAGCAACTCTTTCTCCTTGACATGACATGGTTTGCCACACATAGACAGCAGTAGATGACTACAGACTACAGTAGACAGAACAAAGCTGCAGTGGGAGTTTTGATATTCCATTCCCACAAATTTTTTCTAACATATACAAGGGGCGTTCAAGTCAAACCAGGACTTTTAATTTTACAGGTATACAGGTGGTGCACATCACGGGCCAGTCCAGAGACCGTTAACTAGTTGCCGACCGCAGATAGCCAAATGACGGCTGCACTGCGGCCGGCCAGTTCTGGTTGGATGTCATATGACGTCCTCCCAGAACGCGCTCTCCTGTGCGCCCCAGGGGGCGCGCACCCGGCGATCTCCGTGATCGCTGTGTCCTACGGACACAGCTGATCATGTGATGTGGTAAAAGGCCAATCACAGCGGCCTTCTACCATGTGATCAGCGGTGTCCAATGACACGCTGATCACGGGGAAATGCAATTGCCGGTTCTCGGCTGCACTTTCCTCACGCTGTCAGATCGCAAGGAAAGTACTGCCGAGAACCGGCAGTTGTCAGAGCGAGGATGGGCACCGATCATCAGGGCACTGATGATCAGTGCCCTGATGATTGGTGCCCAGCAGTGCCACCCACAAGTTCCGCCCACCTGTGCCCAGCAGTGCGCCCACTAGCTCCGCCCACCTGTGCCCAGCAGATCACCCACCTGTGCCCAGCAGTGCACCCACCTGTGCCCAGCAATGCACCCACCTGTGCCCAGCAATGCACCCACCTGTGCCCAGCAATGCACCCACCTGTGCCCTCTGCAGTGTCACACACCTGTGCCCAGAAGTGCCACCTACCTGTGCCCAGCAGTGCCACCCACCTGTGCCCACCAGTGCCACCCACCTGTGCCCACCCACCAATGCTGCCCACCAGTGCAGCCCAGCAGTGCTGCCAGTCAGTGCCACCAGTCAGTGCCCAGCGGTTGTGCCAGTCAGTGCCGCCAGTCAGTGCCCAGCAGTGATGCCAGTCAGTGCCGTCTATCAGTACCCATCATCAGTGTCACCTATCAGTGCCGCCTATCAGTGCCGCCTATCAGTGCTGCATATTAGTGCCGCCTATCCGTGCACCTCATTAGTGCTGCCTATCAGTGCCGCCTATCCGTGCCACCTCATTAGTACTGCCTATCAGTGCCCTTTAGTGCTGCCTATCAGTGCCCATCAGTGCGCCTATCAGTGCCCATCAGTGCTGCCTCACCAACGCACATCAGTGAAGGAGAAAAATTACCTGTTTGAAACATTTTATAATAGAAACAAAGAAACTTTTTTTTTTTTTTCAAATTTTTGCACTTTTTTTGTTTATAGCGCAAAAAGTAAAGCACCCAGTGGCGATTAAATACCACCAAAAGAAAGCTCTATTTGTGAGAAAAAATGATCAAAATTTCATATGGGTACAATGTTGCATAACCGCGCAATTGTCAATCAAAGTGCAGCAGCACTGAAAGCTGAAAATTGGCCTGGTAAATAAGGGGGTATAAGTGCCTGTTAGGCAAGTGGTTAATCAAGATGGCAGACAACAGTTAGTTGTTAGTGTGTACATGGAACAGCGTGTGGTGAAGAGACGCTCAGCCACAGTAAGACATATGGATGATGTAAACATTTCAAAGATGGCCGTACATCCATCAGTGACGATCCCAACGCAGTGGATCACAGCCAACAACAGTCATTCCTATGAACATTCAGTGCCTGGAACGCCTGGTCCTGGATAATGGACATATAACCTGTTGTGAATTTACACAAGAGATTAATCTTTTTGTGATAATGGTGAACATAATCATTCACAAATGTCCAAGCATGGCTCAGTCGTACTGACAAGTCTTTCTATACCGAATCTTTCCAGGCATTAGTTAAATGCTGGGATAAGTGTATAAATATAGCAGAGGAGTATGTAAAAAAATAAATTCAGTTTCCACTCTTTGAAATTTGTTCTTTTATTTATAAAAGTCCTTGTTTGAATGCCCCTCGTACATTATGAAATTATAATTGCTATTATTTTTTATGCTAGAATTAACTTTCATTTCACTTGTTTTACAGACAAATATGGAGAGAAAAATATTGTTGGCAAATATCGGTATATTGTTGTTTCACACAGCATGTCTTTTTCCTATGGCGTCACATTCAGACCATGGCAATGATATTGTATCAGCTCAGTTTAATGCTGAAGATCCCCATTTTGTAATAGTTGGTAAGTAAAGTACCACACATATCTATTTATCTATCTATCTATCTATCTATCTGTTGCAATATTTTTATTGTTGCAATATTTTTATTGTTACAATGCATAACAAGGGAACAGGTATACAACAAGCTGTGTAGGCCCTCCAAAAGGCACAAAATATCTCGCAACGCAGGCGAGTCTATCTATCTATCTATCTATCTATCTATCTATCCATCCATCTATCTATCTATCTATGTATATATATATATATATATATATATATATATACAGTATACTGCATGTTGAAATGTGTTTTTATTACAAAATATCTGAAAAATATATATATATATATATATCTTCAGATTTTTTTTTAACATATAAAAGTTATTTTAACATATTTTTACATATATTTTTAAATGAATTCCAAAAATATAGATTTATATATTTAAAGACATACAGTATATTTGAAATATATTTTTAAAAATATCTTTCATATATTTTATAATAAAAAATGCAAACATGCAGTATATATATATTTATTGAAATATATTTTGAAATATATTGAATATGGCCAAATTGTAGCATTTCAAATATATGTCAATATATTTAGAAAGAATATTTTTAAAATATATTTCAAAATATATTTTTCTTCCATGTGGGTAAGCACTGCCTAATTGTGTTTAGGAAGCGCTTAACTACTATTATTGTTTTTAATTGAGACAAGTGCAAGTACTATAGGGGGATATGCTTTGTTCATATTCAATGTCTGAAGTTTAAAACCAGTTTAATATCCTGGCAATTGAAATGAATAACTGGCCAAATGCTTGACACACTTAAACACGCCTAAACGTGTTTGTAAAAGTGCGGTGTTATGCGTGTTTGCAAAAGTGATGCTTTGGCGGCATTTTTGATGCTCCTTTTCTCCTGCCAGGTGAGAGGCGTTTAGAAGAGAGGGCGACACCCAGTGTGAATGAGGCCTTTGAGTTCAGCACTTGCAGATGGGAAAGCATAATCTTTTTACAGGGTTAGCCTAGTCTCCCTTTGGTCCGCTAGGGACAGGTTGAATTTTCTGGATCACAAGTAAAACTGCTTGGAGTGGGAATACATACATTATCTTTGAATATTTACAATCCCCACACTCAGCCAGCAAATACAACTTGCCCCCACTGCCTCCCCCCTCCCTCCTCTCAGTTTATTTATTTATTTCAGGTGCTTATATAGCGCCGTCAATTTACGCAGCGCTTTACATATATTGTACATTCACATCAGTCCCTAACCCTCAAGAGGCGTACAATCTAAGACCCCTAACTTACATTCATACATACACATACTAGGGCCAATTTAGACAGGATCTAATTAACCTACCAGCATGTATTTGGAGTGTGGGAGGAAACCAGAGTACCCAGAGGAAACCCATACAGGCACAGGGAGAACATGCAAACTCCAGGCAGGTGGTGTCATGGTTGGAATTTGAACCGACGCTCCCAGTATTGCCAGGTGGAAGTGCTAACCACTTAGCCACTTTTCCTTTCCTCTCCCCTCACATTTTTTTTTCATTCCCCCCCTCACTTTCCCTAACAACTCCCCTCTCCACCTCCCTTTTCCTCCCAGGAAAATATCTAAAAACTTTTGTTGAGCTCCAGCTCGAACAGTATGGCTGATAAATGGCACCAATTAAATTCATGTATACCCCATGTTGCAGCATTGACAAGTTCTCATTGCTGCACCACACAGTTTTTCCTTCACATTCTCTAATGTTGCAGAAAACACCCTTCAATTAGTGGTGTATTATACAAATATTACGCTGTATCTACTACTCTTCTATTTGCCACCGCCGATGATGACAGATTTACAAATGACTATAACTATGTCATTGCTGTCATTTTTGGATGCAAACATTAAAAATAAAGAATTAAAAAAACTGCTGGTAGTGAGCAGTTGTGAACACACCAAGCCATAAAATGAAGTGTAATGAAGTATATTTGATATAATTATCAAATAAATATATTTTTTCCTTGAAGAAGTCAACTGAGTAGACAGAAATCTCTCTTTTCATTTCTTATTAATCTAATATGTTATCTCAAGTTGAAGCACCCCCCTTCCCTAATTATTATTATTATTATTATTATACAGGATGTATATAGCACCAACAGTTTGCTCAGCACTTTACAATATAACAGGAGACAATACAGCAACAATACAGTTCAATACAAGAGGGATAGGAGGGCCCTGCTCCTTGGAGCTTACAATCTAGGAGATAGTTTGGCATATTTGATACTCATAACTCAAGTCTGGAATTTTGAGTTTCTATTTAATGTAAGGTCAAATGTTGAAAAGTACATTACAGAAATGGGCCAGTTTTAATGACTTATGGAAGAATTGATTAACTAAGAAACTAAAATAGAGTTTATCCAGAGAAATAATTGTGATAATAGCCATATTAGTAAAATAATAAACCTTTTTAGGATAATTGGCCCATCTATAAAGAATAGATGGTCAAAGTGGCAAGCAAGAAAAAAATATTAACCCCTTGGTGCCGATGCCTCCTGGTCTTTTAAGGGGTTTCTGACACCGGGAAGTTGCATGCGGATTAGGGTCATGTGACAGCCATGATTGGTGGTCGCAACGGTCACATGATCAGAAAGTTACTGATCTCTGGGAGATTTCTGTGAGAAGCCGGTAACTGTGCAGGGCACGCGCTCTCGGCACATTTGCTTATATCAGGTACACGTACTGTAGGCGCCAGGGAGTTAAAGTAAAAAATGACCAGTTTGCCCCATAATCTACATTTTATTTATGGAAACTTCCAATGTTCTCCAAATGACCAGTTTGCCCCATAATCTACATTTTATTTATGGAAACTTCCAATGTTCTCCAAATGTTTTTCCTGGCCGGAATCCCTCTTCAATATGGAGGTTGGAGAGATCTGAGCTAGCTCAGCTATAAAACCTTCCTAGATGTTGGAAGACTGCTGTTGGACTGAACTATTCTATCATTGGAGAAAAATTGTTACACTGACACAGTGACTTCAAAAGAGAAAAATTATTTACATAGTTACATAGTTAGTCTGGCTGAAAAAAGACAAAAGTCCATCCAGTTCAACCATTAAAAAAAAAAGTAATAATCCTATACCCACCATTGATCCAGAGGAAGGCAAAAAAAAAAAAACCCAGCAAAGCATGATCCAATTTGCTCCTGCAGGGGAAAAAATTCCTTCCTGATCCCCCGAGAGGCAATCGGGATTTAGAAAATAGTTAACCACTTAATTTAAAGACTGGACTGCGTCATCCCCTTCCTAGTCAGGTCATTTTTTCAGTTTTCAGCATTGTCACACTTTGAATGACAATTAGTCATACAACACGTCCCACAAACATGTTATACCATGTTAGACAGACAGAGCTTTCTTTTGGTCATACTTAAAGTGGTTGAAAAACTAAAAGGTTTTTTTTCCCTTAATGCATTCTCTGCATTAAGGTACAAAAACCTTCTACCTTCTTCTCTCCCCCAAGCCCCTTCCCCCAAATGCTTATTTTAGACCCATCTTGATCCAGCGTTATGCATGAGAGCAGTAGTTCTCTCCACTCTCTCTCTTCTCAAGGGCTCAGGGACAGCAGTGGGAGCCATTGGCTCTTGCTGCTGTCAGTCACAGCCTGTGAGGAGGGAGCGTGGAGGGCGAGGCGGATGTACAGAGGAACGTAGCTCAGGAGCAAACCCACACGAGCACACGAGTGTCCCCATAGAGCAGCTTTCTATGGGGGCACTCAGAAGGGGGGAGGAGCAAGGAGCGCCAGCAGGGACCCGAGAAGAGGAGGATTAAGGCTGCTCTGTTTAAGGGTCAATTGATGCTAACTGCTGGAAGATCTATTTTCACTGGAGGGGAACTATTTTTTTCTATTGTTGCTGAGGGAGATATGTTGTTGCTGGTGGGGATCTATTGTTGCAGGGGTGGGTCTTATGTTGCTGGAGGGTCAATTTTTGCTGGGAGGGATCTTCTGTTGAGGGAGGGGTTTATTGTTGCTGGGGAGGTCCATTGTTGCTGGCTGAAGGGTATATATTTTACTGCTTTTCTTGTTATCATTAATAAATTGCATATAAATTGATACTTGGTTCTGGGCGGTACTGTGAGGAACCAAGGAACGGTGCTCAGAGTTGGGTAGAGAGTGGAGACAAACGGTGACTCGGAAAAAGGGAGTTCCTGCACCTATTTTCTGAGAAAGAAAGCCCTTGGCGCACATGAGTGGCACTAATGGCACTGGGCAGGAAAGGGTTAATGTGAGGGGCGATCAAAAGGTTAACTGTGTGCTGGGAGTGTTTTACTAGGGGGCAGGGGGGTGTGTTCTTCATTGTAAGCCCACTGATCGGGATGGCTGTACTGTGCACAGCCATCCAGACCAATGTGCTTGAGCTGACAGGGAAGAAGATTGTTTGTAAAAAAACAATCTTCCTGTCGGAGATGCTCAGTAATCACCGGGTGCCGGCGGGTAATTACCGTCCGGGACCCGGTGATTGACATCTGTGGCTATAAACGGCGGCGTGGGTAGGGCGCCCTCACGGCTCACGCACACCCCCTACCCGGAAATGGCAAAATCACATATATATTATAATTATACAGGATTTATATAGCACCAACAGTTTGCTCAGCGCTTTACAATATAACGGGAGACAATGCAGCAACAATACAATTCAATACAAGAGGGTTTGGAGGGCCCTGCTCCTGGGAGCTTACAATCTAAGAGATATATACGTGATCCTGTGCACAGGTGCCACCCTGTAGCAGTATATCTGCAATAGGGCAGTCCTTAAACGGTTAATAATAATATGCCCTCTCAAATCTAGGAAGCTCCCATTTATCTACAGTGGCCAGACGGGAAGCTGTTAAGCATTTTAAATATATCTAGGGATAGAAGAGAACTCTGGGAACATCACCTTTTACCTCCGTCTTTTTATCCTTTGTGAGATGTAATCACATGCCCAGGGGCGGACTGACCATTTGGAAACTCGGGCACTGCCCAAGGGCTCAGGGTCAGTAGGGGCCCCATGAGATGCCCCTGGTACCTTTTTCATAGGCTTTTTTGAGTTTGGGCAAGGACACAGGGGCCCCATGATCCCCTATTGCCCGGGGGCCCCATGAGTTGTCAGCTTGCCCCTGCATATGCCTAGTCTAGAGTAAACATTGCAGCATTTACATGTGGCTTGTCTGCAGCCTGTACTCCGGCCCCTTTCACACGGGCGGTTAGATTTCAGCTTTTAGCTGCGAATAGAGGAACTTATTTACCGCAGTAAAATGTAGACAATGCATCCCTATGGCTCCATTCACACACTGCATTAAGAAACATTTTCATAACATACGGTTTTATGCAAATAGGAAAAATAAAGTTGACAGCGTCCAGGAGCGATGTACCGCAGCTATCTGTACTTAAACGCAGTTAATCACGGCACAAAGAAAAAATAAATAAACAGTTGCTATAGAAAAGGCAGGAAATTTACTACCACCGCTAAACGCAACCGCATGTAAAACACGTAATTGCAGATAAACACAATGTACAAACGCAATTGATCTCTGTGCCAGGAGTGTTGGAATTTGAAACTAAAAAAACATGTATTTACAAGCGGGAGAACAAGCGCCCGTGTGAAGGAAGCCTTACTGTAGACAAAGAGTACCAACAAAGAAGGCATCTGCTCTTCAGACTAGGGTAGCTTGATGGCCAGGCCCAAAGACTTACAGTTTTATCATGTCAGGATTCAAAATTTACATACATTTCTATGTGTTCTGTTAACCAATGGTTTCATTTACAACCCCATGTAAAAGTACAAAAAGAATACTTTGTAAGATACATTTCTAGAGAATGATAGAAAGAAGTAGCTGGAAAATTACATATTCTTCTTGATGATTAAAGTAGTTTATAAGAAGGATTTTTTTTTTATTCTAGCTCTACCTTTCAACTTTGATTTATATGATATGAACAAAGATGGTGTTATAACACTGGCTGAACTGTCAAATGTCACAGAGACTCAGATGGATGATGCAAATGAACCATTTAAAAGTGCTGACAGAAACGGTAAGATTTTTTTTACTAATTATCTTGAAAAGCCAAAGTATTTTTTATTATTTATACACTTTCTCCCAAAGTCAGTTAACCATTATACTGTATGACCAGAAATCATTGATGATTAGATGTCAGGCCCAATTTTGCTGTGTCAGCTTATATCAGTTAATTTCACAAAAATGTTGTATCCAATTTGCACACCTATTTTTTAATGACATAGAAGGCACATTTTTGGTACACTGTTTTAATTAAAAAAAAAAAAAAAACATGCTTTGACTTTAATACAGACAGATAAATGCACAGAAAATGTTTCTTTTTGCTTTTTAAGTAAGGCATTTTTGATATTGTAATTGTATCTGACAATTATAGTGTTAGTACCCACATGGAAGAAAAATATATTTGAAATATATTTTAAAAATATTCTTCCCAAGTATATTTAAAATACTACAATTTTGGCTGTATTCAATATATTTTCCAAAAATAAATAAATAAATAAATAATATATATATATATATCTCCTAGATTGTAAGCTGGAAAGAGCAGGGCCCTTGAACCCCTCGTGTTTTTTTGTTTTGTTACTGTATTGTCTCATGTTCTGTCCCCCACTATAATGCACAGTGCTGAGCAAACCTTTTAGCGCTATATAAATACTGTGTTACAATATATATATATATATATATATATATATATATATATATATATATATATATATATATATATATATATATATATATATTGCATGTTGAAATGCATTTTTAAATTATTACAAAATATATGAAAAATATTTTTTTTAAATATATTCTTCAGATTTCTTTTTACACATAAAAAGTCATTTTAACATATATATGTATTTTTAAAAATATTTTTCATATATTTTGTAATAAAAATGCATTTCAACATACAGTATATATATATATTTATTTATATATATATATATATATATATATATATATATTTATTGAAATATATTTTGAAATATATTGAATAGGGCCAAAATTGTAGTATTTCAAATATTTCAAATATATTTTTCTTCCATGTGGGTATGACCATAACTTACTTACTTCTCTTCTGGGGAACAGGAGTGTGCATGCTTTTGATCTCCTGTGACCCAGAAATAGCCGACAGTGGGTTAAAGCCTGCGGTCTACTGACATCACAAAATTTCTCCAGGCTCTTGAAGGATCCTGACCATATTGTCAGGATCCACGCAGATGTCTGATTGACAGCTAGCTTGATCTCACAGTGTGTGGCTCAGAACTGGAGCCAGATATTCCAGTCCCCTTGCCAGTCTGGTGCTCCAGTCAGTGCTGGAGGTGCAGAGCAGGGAGCAGAGACTGATAGCTCCAAGAGGACTAAGAACTGAGTGATGTGATTGCTCTTGGGCTTAGAGCCAGCAGGGACAGCTGCAGCATCAGACCAATGCTGCAGCATAGAGTTGAATATAGATGTTTGTTTTTTTTGTTTTTGTACTTCTCCTTTAAATAAATAAACAGCCACTTTCTAGCTGCACTGCTATCTGCAATGTCAGGTGGAGGTTGAAAGGTTTTTATCATTGAAGCCTCCAGTCTGCACATGATCACTTATATCTGGCATAGTGATCACACCACTTTGATTCATTCCCGATCAATGTGCAGGCTGGTGTGAACAAGTCTTAACTTTCAATGCTTGTACATATTTGTCCTTCTATGTATAATGTTGCCTATATTTTCTTTTCTAGGGGACCATGTTCTATCAGAAAAGGAATTTCAAGATGCCCCCTGGGTATTTTCTATTCCTTAGGCTAGTATTAACTTCAGAACATCATTACTAAGAAGAAACAGAAGGCTTTTAAAGAATAATAGGACAGGGGGCACCACAAGGTGCGACTCTCCTATACCTAGCAGTTTCACTAACGAACCCTGCAGATGTCCACAGGATTGATTGTTGTGCCTGTTTCTTACTTTATCCATGTGAGTGCATGTTGGTTTTAGCCTTACATTTTAATAAAAATCTAGACTCATATGGTGGCGCCCCCTCCGTACTATTCTTTAGTACTCAAGCACAGAGGATTCATCCAATTCTCTGATCCAGAAGAGCTGCAGCCATCAATAGAGGTGATTATTTTACTATTAACCTATTAACCACTTGCCCTCCAGAAGGTTTTACCCTTTTCAAGACCAAGGCGATTTTTGTTATTCAGCATTGTGCTACTTTAACTGGCAATTGCACGGTCATGCAACACTACACAGAAGAAATTTTATATCATTTTTCTTCAAACAAATTTGGATTTCTTTTGGTGGTATTTGATCACTGCTGGGTTTTTACATTTTTATTATATAAATGAAAAAGAAGAAAATTTTTGGGGAAAAGAATTCTACTTTCTCTTATAAAACATATCTAATAAAACATTTTTTAAAAAAAATCTAATTTCTTTATAAATTTAATCCAAAATGTATTCTGCTACATGTCTTTGGTAAAAAAAAAAAAATCCCAATCAGTGTATATTAATTGATTTCTGTGAAAGTCATAGTGTCTACAAACTATAGTATATATTAGGGTTGCACTGATTCCGTTTTTTTCATCAGCGAGTACGAGTACTGATACTTGTACTCATGTACTCATGGATACCTAATATCAATACCTTTATGGTGTGATTTGAGCCCATACAAACTGAATGGACTCAAATGTGCGATTCCTGTCCGAATCACATGTGTTTTCCCTGTGGGTGAGGTGCAATTTGAGCCATTCATTTTGTATGGCTCAAATCGCACTGCACCGAACAGCAGGGAACCACATGTGATTCGGACAGGAATCACAATGCATTCCTGTTCAAATCACATGCGATTCTTTGAAGTGCGATTTGATCCCATTCGTTTTGTATGGACTCAAATCTTACCGCATCGGAGGTATCGGAGAATTTTCACAAGTACAAGTACTCCTGTAAATGCTCTGTATCAGCACCAATACCATAATCGGTATCGGTGCAACCCTAATATATATATTTGAAAGTTGATCAGTCCTGATGTACTGATGGCCTATCTGATTTCTTGAATCCCCCAAATTGCAGGACAGTACAAATATTCACCAAATGTCCCCTTTTTGAAAAGCAGACAGTCTAAGGTATTTAGTAAGAAGCATGAAGAGTTTTTTTGAAGTTGTCATTTTTTGTCACAATTTTTTGAAGAATACAGCTAATGCAGCCACCATATTTTAGGATTTGATTTTTGTTCTTGTGTTTAATACTGCTTTAACTCGTCAATGTTATGTATATGAAAAAATAAAATGGATACCAAAAATGACATATCTTTCAAAATAGTTATCTATCAGGTAGTGTTTTTCTGTACCTGTCAGATCCATGTCATAATTGAGTCCTTGAATCAGCAATCCTGCAACTCAAATGCTTCTGTAGCCTATTCAAGAACAAAATGTATTCCCAAATATGCATAAAAATGCTTAAAATTGTAACATCTGTTACATTTTGATTAAAGCTTGTTGACAAACCTACCTCTCTGCGTGTGGCTTGTGATCTATGCGTAGAATTCTGCCTATATCTCTAATGTGCATTTTGTTAAAGTAATACCAATTTCACAGCACAATGCACACATGGAAGTCATTTTTTTTCTCAGCCCCTGTGTCTTTCATGTCCTTGGGCTGCAGTAGTATATATCACCATAGAAACAACATTCTTGTTTGTATTGAGAAGTAGTAATGCCTTTTATAAAATGGACTGTAATGATCCCTACAGTGTAAAAAAGTAAAACATTCACATTTATGCAAATCATAGGTTTGGATACCCAAACATATATGATTGACACAAGAGTTTAATATTGTTTCCTTCCCATGTTGGAATACTTCACGGTCCTCTTTAGGTTCATGTTTGAAGCTAATATATGCAATTTAGATGTTTTATATATATATATATATATATATATATATATATATATATTTATTTATTTATTGTGCCAACAACTTCTTACACTGGTCCTGTACTCGCAGTTGCCATTTCTAAATGCAGAAGCCAGCAGAGGAAGTCTTCCACTATCTTCTTCCTCTCTGCATTAGAAGATGTCATCAGTCAGATGCAGAATAAGTGAGTATTTCACATCTCTGTAGGCTTCTGACGTTGCAAGTAGCAGTGGGTCTCTCAGGGTAGCTGGAATGCAGAACCCTACCTGCGACTTCCCACATGAGTGGAGGAGACGGGGGATTTACACAACTTCACCAATTCCATGGCCCCATCTCCTCCAGCAGCATTTGTCCCTGAGCCAGCAGCCAACACTGAGGACTCCTACACACCCGTGGGATTCTCGGCAGTATACTCAGGACAGAAAGCTGGGGGTTATTCTGCACCACCTCCCTCCTCTCATCTACCATTGCTGCAATAGTCTCAACATCAAAGAGTTAATCTGTTTTTCCACAGCAGCCCCTCACTTTGTACCCCTGAGGCCTGCACCATCTGCAGCATGGGATCCTGAGAAATGTATACTTTGCAATATGCACCCCTGAGCCCTGTGCCCTGTCTTTTAGTCACTTCTGAGCCCTACACTAAGTATACTTTGTTGTACATTTGTTGTACTCCTGACCACTGCACTCTTAATGTTATATTTTATTAAAACATACTGAGCAAAGTGTTAATTATCTCATTAGCTGATGGTTGCTAAGTAGTCACTGACTATTTTATAAAGTAAGTTTAGGAAGGTATATAGTAAGAAAGACTGAAAAGAATAATAAAGGGTAATAGAAAAATTGTTATTTACTGGAGGACGCCCAGGACAAATTAATCTCAATCTGTTAACCTTGGCTTGAGTACTCTCCACTCTTTCAATTACACCATATTTCCTGCAGCTGTGAAGGGAGTGATAGTCTCCATGTGCTGATACCTCCCTATATACTCCCATGGATGGCCTTCACGGTTCCTCTCTTCCCTTCCCCTACCCCTGGTCATATTTCTCTTGTCTCCTCCAATTCCTTCCCTCATTTTCCCCTCTCTTTGTTCTCTCTACTCTTCTTCTCTCGTCAAGTATCCTCAATGTTCTTGAAGGATGGAAATCTGGCCTACCCTCTTTTTTCTCTTTTCAGTTTCCATACTGCATACCCCACTCAGGGCTTACTGGATACCTTCATGCAACATGCACTGATGTTGAATGCCTTTTTTCTTTGTTAAAAAAGTACCGGATTGTATGATCCTAATTTGAAGACTTACTCATCCACACTAATTGTACTTGCATCTGCTCGTGTTTGAATGTAAATAACTTTCAAAATGTTCTTGCTATGCAAACATATGATTCTTGTACATTGTTCTCTATACCTTGCCCTTTATTGTTGTGCACTTGAGTGGTCCATATGTGTTGACATATGCTGACAGAAGAAGTGCTAGCATTAAAAAAGTATTTAAAAAACGTGCCACCCCCCAGACCACATGCCCTCAACATGGCGGGGGTGCTTTGGGGAGGACTTCCTCTCCCCCAAAGCACCTTGCCCCCACATTGGTGAGGACAAGGGCTTCTTCCCCACAACCCTGTCCCAGTGGTTGTGGGGGTGTGGGGGGGTGACTTACTGAAATCTGGAAGCCCTCCTTAACAAGGGCCTCCAAATCCCAGGCCCTCCCTATGTAGATGAGTAGGGGCACATAGTTCCCCTACTCCTTCACCAAAAATAATGTGCAAAGAAAATAAAAACACAGAGACAGCTTTTGACATGTCCTTTATTAAAGAAAGCAAAAAAACAAAAATGTCCCGAAAGTAAATCTAGCTTCAACCATGGTGAATGCTGACTGCCGACCCGCACAGAAAAAAAAAAAAACGACCCGCACCAGCATTTGGCTCCCACTATATGACGGCTCCATCACCTTCCTGACACTAAAAATACCCTCCAAGGCATCTTATCCATGCTTAGGGCATGTAGCCTGGCATGGTTTAGGGGGAGAGCTGCCTTGCACCCCCTGCTTTTCTGGCCTGCTAATAGCAGATGAGTCATGGTTGTTAAGGATGAAGTGGCCGCCAGCTCCTTAACAACCAGATATTCAGTGGCTGTGAAGGACTCCAGCGGCCACTGAATTTAACATACCACATTATTAAACTACAGCATCATTTAAAAAAATAACACATGCAGTATTTTAGTAGGGTTTTTTTTAGTGAATTGCAAAAAAATGTTTGAAAGCCGATAACAGGTATTTTACAGTGGATCGTAAAGTGGTAGATACCGCTTCACGAATGGAGCCCAGTATTAGCAATCCTATGCTCTTTATAATTCCAAATAAAGAGGCTATGAATAAGGTCTTTTCTGGACTGAAACGCATTAGCATGGGACATGCTATGGAACATTTTGCTGCTCGTTTTCAATAAAGAAGATTTATTTATTTGCCATCTTGTTGCTGACATTCGTTCACAGGTATAAATTGGGAAGCAGATGGAGACTGCTAGTCTGGCACAGTGAAGCACCATACCACAGAGAGAGAGAGTATATTGGGTTGAACCTCACATGTGTGGATAGTATAGCAATCCTATGAGCTTTATAATTCTAAACAAAGTTAAAGGGTAACTCGCCTTTGGTTAAAAAAAAAATAACAAATAAAAAAAAAAACATAGTGTATAAAAAAATCATAGTTTATAACATTATGTATGGACTCTGACTTATTTACTTCTTTTTAATCTGAAGCACTGTAATTTTCTATAAAATGCAATGCAATATTGCTACCTGGAGGTGTTCTGTACACAGATGGTGTACAGAATACCCCCAGAAATGTTATTTCCTGCTTGGGTGATTGGCTTACTGATTTTCCCAAACCTCTGCTCTAAGAA